CTCCAGAAACTTGTCCGAGAGACTATTGACCCATGATGGAGATAACAGTTTCATGGGAGCTTCCGGACCAGTAACGAGGAAATGGTCTGCTCCTTGCATGCAAACATTGTCGACAAATCTTTTGCGGGCCAATTTATAGTACGCCTGTAGAATGTCATGAAGATCTTGGACAGTATGCTCGGCATTACTCATGTTGTCACGGTATGAGAGGTCGCTGACTCGGATAACTTCTCCATGTGAACAGTTTTCCAGGGTCTTCCCGGCCAGCGCTTCTTTGAATCTTTTTTGTCGGCACTTTTGGAGATTATCGTTCAAGTAATGGTTCAAAGTCATTGGTGTTCCTCCACGTTCTATTTTCAACAGAAATTCAACATGTGAGATAGCCTGTCTGTATTTGCCGGTTAATTCATCCCAAAGGCGAGTGAGGATGTTGGTCGAGATCCTGATATCACCACAAACAGCAAGGAGTACTTTTTTTATGAATCGATGGACTATGGCGATCACATCGCTGATGTATCCTTGCGCTAGGGTGGACCATTTCGCGGATTGCTTTTTCATCAAAGCCGACAGCAAGCTATGATTGAAGGTGCCGATTTCGAAGCCACGGGATTCACAATAGACTGTGTCCATCCAGATGGAAATACCATTTTTAGCTCCAGAGATGTTGACAGCATCGTGCAGAATTTCCTGCAATTCTTCATCCTCCTGAATCCTGCGGCTTAGAATGAAATTAACTCCGTTCTGTTTCGCTGGAGGGACTTTCTCAATGGATTCCAAGGATGAATCTGCCGACACTTCCGAGCCTTCCGGCCCTTCTGACTCTTCATCAGGTACTTTGTCTGTCTTGAAAGTATCGGTGAACGCGAATTCATGGCCCCATGTGGAAACGTGGTCCGAAAAGTCCACGTTTCTGCTGGAGACCATGGTTGCCAAACGAACATCCTGTTCTGTATCAAATATGTCATCTACACCGTAGTTTGCGGCGAGTGCCAGCTGTGTGACATTTTGAAAAGACGAAACAATGTCCAGAAGAGCCATGCGCTGCTGCTCTGGGGTCTGTCGCTCAGTTCCAAGCGACTGAAGAGCTTTTCGTGCCACATTGAGCCTCTTGGTAGTTTCCGAACGTACCTAGAGTCACAGAGGTCATTAATAAGGTCTGGAACTATCGTGAGGCCTTTTGAGAATACCTACCAATGGAAATGTGCGGCGCACATGTGACGTGAGAACCTCTTGGAGACGCTTTTTCAAAGCATTGATGCCAAAGTTCTCAGCCCGCACGCGGTTCCAAGGAGAAGTTTGATGCCACTTTCGCTCCAGAAGATCTCGGTCGACATTCCCATCCTCGAGCTCCTGTTGTCCCAGGTTCCGAACAACAACCCACCCAAGCTGATCGCTCGTATTTTGGTCTTCGATCATATCTATTACTCTGTGTTGGGTTCCTTGATCGACGAGATCGATCTTGGTCATAATGGGCAGAGTTCTTTCGCCTGTTGGATCGATTTCGCGGGCTATCTCGATGATTTCCTGTGTGGCAATGTCCACATTTGCTGGAACAACGGTCAACATGACAGAGCGTGGGTTGTTCATATAATTATAGACCATGTCACGGACGAGCGCTATATCTTCCTTTGTGGTGACTCCAGGGACTGTGTTTTTGAATATCCCTGGGACGTCAATCACACTCAGATGATCCTCCTTGGGACCACAAATCTCAAGCCGGAGAACGCTGTTGGAAAACGTCGGCTGTCCAAAGGTTGCAATGCTTTGCAAATCACGGAGATTCAAGACTTTATGGACCTAGTCAAGTCAGGGTACATTCTGAGAAAGTAGGAGGAAATTTAAAAAGTCTACCTCTTTCATCATGTTAGCAAACCCTTCTACGCTGAGAGCCTGCAGACCAGTAGCATTCCAATCCCTGAGTTTCTGTTCCTCGTCGGTGTCCAGACCCGGTGCGGGAATTATGGAAGCAGAGATCTCTCGACCAACGAGATTGACTTTTCGCTGGAAGATGATCTGCGTCGCGAAGCGAGTGCAGAGACGGCTATCACGGGGGAAGCTCAACTTGGTCAAGCCCTCCAGGACTGAGCTCTTCCCGCTTGACTGGTCGCCCACTACCACAAGCTGTGGAAGGTCGATGTATTCTCCGATATTGCAAGCAAATAGTTGATCAATTTTTTCAAGCAGCTCAGGGTCTGCCAAAGTGATACATTCAACCTCTTTGACTACCATGATTTCTGATAATAATTGGGAAGATAAGACAGTCCGAATGAGAGAGAAAGGGCCGGAAAAACACGGAATTCGTGATATAATTGAAGTGAGAAGGAAATTAAGTCGAAGAGCTGTATTATACTTCCACCTTAGCCAAGCGGTCGAAGGACTCAAAAAAACCCATGTCTGCGTACCTGACCTGAGGGCTATGAAGGGAGGAAATGTGCCGCGAGGAATGGCGTATGTAAAAAATAGATGCGCAGGAGGGAATGTTGTTTAAGTCACGAGGGGAGAAGCGAAGTCGAGAACTGAATATGTTCTGACGGTAGCTGCGTGTGATTAGCAGAGTTCGGAGTGATGGTATGAAGGGGGCGAACGCGAACATACGTACCGTCCCGTGGAAGTGCCGCACAGATCAGTGAAAGCGCGTTCGGCGGGTTTCGGTAAAACCAGCTGCGATGTAGTTGAGGAAAATCGCGCCGGTATCGGAGGAGGAAATGACAGCTGAGAAACAATGCAGTTACCCTTTATATCGGGGTAGCAGGTATCTAGAGGAAGGACATGCTCTGCATTTAATAGACAGAATCTGGCACGAAGTCCAGACCCAGCTGGGCAACAGGAAGGAGATTGTGAAAAGGACCTTGGAATGTCGAGGTTGGGATATGGAATGTTGTTGGATGCGCCTTACTGCGGCTACTGTCATCTCTGCAGGACGGACAGAGTGGTATGAGGGGAGTAGACGTATCTTGTTGTACCTTTAGCGGTATTGGAATCGAGTGCCAAACCTGGCACAACAATAACCACCGTCGCGTCTCTATGGAGCGACACAATAACTCGTAGTAGTGGGCACTGTACATGTACTTGCCTTTATAACCAAACTTACAAAAAGCGACAAAAGTTTCCTCTTCCACGTCATCTATAGTAGCAGTTCCGGATATCGCCTCTTTCATGCAACCATTGTTCATTAGAGCATCCAAAGGTGCTGATAAGTTATGAACAAGACCAGCGTGGATTGTCAGCTTCCGTCGATCATGTCCAATAAAAAAGTGAAATTCTGGATATCGGATGAGTCTTCGGCTTTTAGTTAGTAATTGAGTATTTCAATGAACGGTGATCGTACTCTTTGAATTTTCCTTTTTAAATAGCTCTGACCTAGCGATCTGTACAGCAGATACTGGCAATCTTAGTGCAAGCTCGGAGTTGGCCTGCGCTAAATAGCACATTATATATCACGGTGAGTGGTTTGTAGTAAGAATCAACCAGTAGCTTGTTGCCACCTAACCAGTGTGGGGAGCCGATATGAGACCATACAAAAGCCAACCGAATGAGGGGCAGCAAAATTGGGCAGCGAGAGTTGCTCTGTGGTAGAAAACACGCCTGAAGGGACCGACGCATGCTACTGTGGAGAGAGGAGTACCGGTGTGTTCAGACTCCGAGGTACGAGTCGAGGCCATATGGAACCATACGTCAAGAAATTCCAAATTCTGAATATCAGGTTGAGTGGCTGATGAGTTTTTCAGGTTAGCCCAATGAATTTTGATATCAGAAGCCTTATACCATAATATAGACTCTTCAGGATCCTCATACGTGCGGCGCTTGGAGCACTACCGTGAATTCTTTTACAGTATGTATGTGTGTGTGTGTGTGTGTGTGTGTGTGTGTGTGTGTAATTCATTACGCTGACACCTCGTCGAAGTTGGAACCCTGGATTAAGGTACAAGTGTGATGACTGATCAGTAAGAAAGGAAATTGCAGCAGCTCATTCTCCTGCTGCCAAGCGGAGCGGCTGCCTGTTAGGCAACCACTCCTACAGCTCCATACACATCACGTGACATGGGATCCAACTGTCGAAACGACTGGTGACGCGCGCTGCGCACGCTGTGGCCCTGAAACGCCATAAAGGAGAGACAGGAAGTGAGGGCAAGAAACAGTTGATTGGTAAGCGTTGCCTAGCTTGGATTTTGTTGAAGAAAGTAAGGAATTATAATGCTCCGAGAACCTGGGGCTTTCAGCCCAGCCTTCCCCCGCCCCCGCCTTTAGCTACTCATATAAGTAAGGACAGGACCTTGTTACTATGTAGATAATCACAACTTTGACAACTTTCAGTTACCTCAGAAACAAGCCTATATTAAATCCATATCAAGTTGTCACTTGATAAGACGGGGTAGCTGTTTCGAAAACTGGTACAACACATCTGGCCTTCTCCATCCGTTCAAGTGGTTCGAAAGTTAGCTTACGCATTTTGTTATTATGATGGCTGATCCGCTCAGCGTTGCGGCTAGCATTGTTGGAATTGTCACCCTGGGTTTCCAGGTTGTCAGGGGATTATATCAAATTGCGGACTGCATCGGTTCTGCAGGAAAGGAGGTCCGGCTATATGCAGAGGAAATCAATCAATTTTCCCAACTGCTAAGTCATATCAGAGCGCAGATATTAGCGGCACCCGATGTGCCATTCAATTCACGAAGCTTAATAAAGGATGTTGTCGACATTTGTGATAAGATTCTCCAGCCTTTCCATCGCCTACAGAACACACTGGATTCCTTCTTTATCCGGTTCAAACAAAGCCCCAAGAAGCTCAAGCTGTTTGGTTTCTGAGTTAAATGGGTATTTTGTGATAAGAAAAAGTTGCTGTTCTATTTAGACGCACTCAGGAATCAACACAGGATTCTTAATACAGCACTTGACTTAGCCAACTTGCAAACCACGAAGGACAGAACACCCCCGATTATGTAGTGAGTACATGAAGTCTTGCGACTTGTTAAGACGTTAATAATTTTAGTATTATGAGAATGTCCCTCGAAAACTCAGTGGCTGCGATTAACGCATCACTGTGCAGCAGCCCTGGAGGCAGGATCTTCCCCATTACAGGGACAAGTGAGCAGTCGTACGATGACTATCTCGGTTTAACTGGCCAATCCGCACTTATCTCTTTTCAAGATGTGTCGGAAAACTCAAGCAACCCTGGCGACACCGAAGTAGTTCCACCAACAGAGGCTAGCCTTAATCCTCAAAGTTCGACCGACCTTGCAGATTCTCGCATAGCTTCGGATGGCCAGGAAGACCAATTAACTCCCCTTGAAATGCAAATCCTGGAGAAGCAGATCGAGCAAGATCTCGATCCAGATTCGGGCATGACAGCTGCTGAGGTCTGGGAAGACACCCGCTCTATCTCACGGAAGGCAAAGCGCTTGGCGTTAGAGGCACTTTCGTTACGTGAAACTCAAGTCGCAGCCTCATGGGGAACTTCTGCAAGATTTACACATGAAGACTATACTGTAGGATGGGTCTGTACTCGTCCTCTAGAATATGCAGTGGCTGAAGGGATGCTGGACGAACAACATTCGGCTCTTCCACAGGTTGAAAATGATACAAACACCTACACACTAGGGGGAATGCAGAGACACAATGTTGTCCTTCTCTGCATACCTGCAGGAGCCATGGAGACTGGGGTTGCAAACACTGCTGTATCGGGGATGCTCCGCAGTTTTCCAAATATAAGGATTCGGCTGCTGGTTGGAGTTGCCGGAGGAGTTCCAAACCATCAAATTGATATACGCATCGGCGATGTAATGGTTGGTTCCCCCGTGTCTTCTTCAGGAGGTGTTATGCTCTTGAAAGGAAGTGGGGAGAGCTTTGCTGAGACTGGTACACTTGAGACGCCACCAAGAGAACTCGGAAACGCACTTGCGACACTGCAAGCTCGACATATAAGAAGGAGGAATGAGATTCAACGTCATATTGAAGAAATGCTAGAGGCGAATCCGGCTATGCGTCTTCCGTTCTCCTTTCCAGACCCTGAAGGCGACTTGCTCTTGCCACCATATTACGAGCATCATAATAAAGGCATGCCAAATTGTCTTGAATGTGACCCTCCTCAAGTGATACCACGGCCGAAGCATAGAGGCAGACCTGCTGTCTTTTATGGTCCTATTGGATGGACCAGTTCAGTCATCAATAGTGGTCTTGCCCTCGACGCTGTTTCCCGCCAAAGGGTCATTTACTGCATTGAGATGGAAACCATGGGATTGATCAATTTGTTCCCTTGCATTGTGATTCGAGGAATTTGGAACTACTCAGATTCGCACAGAAATAAGGCATGGCAGTAGTGCTATGCGGCAGCAACTGCTGCAGGATATGACAAGGAGCCACTTGGGACAATACACACCACTCAGGTATAGAAAACACATATCTGTCACCTCTTCTGCTGAATCATGATGCATGTTTTGCCAAATTTCACAATATTTACCAGATATCACGAATTTGGATGAAATCCAGTCATAGTAGCCTCTGTAAAAGGATCCAAATAGGATTAAATGCTGCCGGAGTTGACTAACGCTCGTAGGCTAGTCGATCTTCTAGGCCTGTAGTCCAGACAACGAATAATTCGTTACATAGCAAAGAGCTTCCACAACTCAAGCACAACGAATCATAACTTTGTCTTACTTAGCAATCTCGTTGGCAAAGAGTAGGCAGATTTTCAAAAGCAAAGGATGTAAAACAAAAGGTAGAGGCACGCAAAAGGAATTGGTGCAAAGGACGGGTAAGTAGGCGAGGCAGAACGACAGGCGAGTCACAGGAAGGAAGACTGCATCAGGCAGACAGCATGATGAGAATGCAGCACTGGCATAGGCAGATTATTGCAATAGCTGACAGGGAGGGCCCAAACGCGAGGACCTGCAGAGCCAGCAGTCCGTCGGGCTAAATGCCCATTCAGCAAATGATATGAGACTCTCGGCATCTGCAATCGCTGCAAAAGACGCGAGGACTCCCTGTTGCGGGTCTATATACTCGAATTGTGACCTATAAAAGTACTCATCGAAAATAGGACCGTATTGGTGGTTATCATTGGAGGCATTCCGGTTCACGGAACCCCAGCACGAACGAGGATGCCGTGAGTATCCTTTGCGCGTATCATGTAGAAAGATGGTAATCTCTCGCGCGATGTCTCGGTGGATTCGATTGAGGCTGCGGACCCGCAGATGTAGAATCTGAAGCTGGGAATGCTTGGCCGTGGGTCGAAGGCACAGATGCTGTTCTCATTAGCGGGCACACGCTTACTGGACTGAGGAGAACTTACAGCCGCAGATGGCCTAGCACACAGACCCAGAGCAGACACCTGGCCCAGGTCTACAATGGCAGACGAGTTTGTTACTCACGCGGGTGACACATCCCGATCATCCTCAAACAAGACATCAGCATCGATGGGAGCGAGTTGGCGCTCACGGTAGACAAAGATCTCCAACGTGGGCTGGCAGTGTCTGATGGCGTCCTGGATGTGGGGTTTCGACGCTGGGAAATTAGACAACCTCAGATGCAGATGCTGCAGCCCACGATACGAACATAAGAGCTGTACAACCGCAGAGAGGCTACACCCTTCGCCCGGTTCGTGCAGCAGATAATCAAAGAGAATTCAAAATGCGCCAGTTGTAGCGGCTTTTGTGACCGAGACAGTAACTGCACGAGACGCAGCTGATTCGGGCAGTCCCACAGCGTGAGCGCTCACAGAGATCAGAATATCGCATTGTATCCTGACGAGATATCTGGGGGCAGGGCCACCTTTGACAATGACAGCGTGGACAGAGCGGGAAGAGCTATCAGATTCCCGATCCCTGTATCCCCGTTTCTTGTGCTGCCGAGCCCTGTACCCTCGACCTCCGGCTCCGGCTGTAGTAGCCCATCCCAGCACAGAGCACGGGCAAAAGAAGATGAAATGAAGCCGATGGACATATGATCCAGGCGGCTCCGGTTCTTACGGATGCACTGTCGCAACAAACCAACCTCAGTCGGATGTTAGATTCCTGCGATGATTGAGGGCACGTGCCGCCCGTGACGAGCGAGAGGCGAGTGAGGCACTCTTGATACCGGCTAGGATAGCCTCCCTGGTCGAGAACTCCCGCTGGGATGTCCCTAGTCGCAATCTATTGCTAGACAATCACAGATCTAGATGAACGGCTACCAGCTTACGGACTCGAAAGTGCTCAAGCTATTCGGCTTCAAATAGGTGAATATCAGCTGCATTGATCTTTCACGTCGTCCAGGAGTTGCTGGTGCGCCGTCGCCTCTTCCGAAGCTCGAACTGAGGCGGGGGACTCTAGCAGGCCCGCCGCACGAAAGATATTGTAGTATGCACATCGATTAAACCGAACAAGATGGAATGGAGCCCTGTCTGCAGGTGCCGCGCGTGCTGGAGACAGTCCGTGGGTTGTGAAGGACCAAAATAAAGAAAGAAGGGGTCGACATTCAACAAATTCAGCGCCCATTCACTTGCTGCACAGAATGAAATGGTACGGTATATTCGAGGAACCAAAACTGAATACAATCTGGACGAGGCTCGGCTAAGAACGAGGGTGGTAGCTGTGTCAGCTGGCGGGCGGTCAGTGCCTGGATCAACAAAACAAACACGCTGGAACTTACCCAATCTGCGATCAGCATCAGAATCTCACACGGCAACGTCTCCAGCTTTGTACTCTGTGCTCAATTTATCAATCTGCTCTGAAAAGCAAGAGACTTATAAGCACGCATCTATCTGAACACCCAGTCAAGTTGCCCAGACATTTGCGAAGAGGAAATTGTTTAATATCCGTAGGTCATGCATCGCGCTGCATGACAAGCTAGGCCGGTCCCTGATAAACAGGCTCAGCGCCGTTTCTGTAACCACTCTTCACCCGCAGGCCACCAAGTATTGTGAAGCGCATTGCCGAGCTCAATGATCGTTCGGCATGGGCGGCAACTAATCGAATGATCACAGCGGTGGTCCCATTTGAGGAAATAATCGATGGTAGTGGTCAATAGCTCGCTCAATGTGCTCCTGAATTATGTTGGCAAATCGTATCTGCCCTGCATGACCTTCAGCTGACCCGTGCCAGCGGTCCGCCAGGCGTCTGAAAAAACTTCACTGTCGAGGCAACTTGGGAGTATTTCAAACGGCATCTCTACTCGGTATTGGCATTTCTTTGCGTGATTTTGGCACCAGCTGACCTTCTCAGATATCTGCCGGTGAAGTTGCCGTCGATCACGGGGACTCTCGCGCTCGTAAATCACAACTTGAATGGCATTCATATTTTGAATTCACAAATAGGACAAATTTTGAGTCAAGAAGTTGTGTTCCAAGTTTTACCTGTTGGTCGGTGAGCGGAGAGCCTCCCATAGCCACCGGAATCACTGGCAACGGGCGGCATCGGAGCCAATTGGATGATGGGGAATGCCTCCGGCTACTTGAGATCATTCAATTGAACATGTGCATGTAGAACTTCGAGCCAAGTCATTCTAATTGATTGAGTAAATGCAGTAGTAATCGAGAGGACAGTGTTAGGACACTTTTCTGTTTACCATGAGATTACCCGCACTTACAGTGTAGGTAATGAAAATGGATCAGGAAACGAATAATGCTGGCCCAAAAGATCCTGGATAGCCTGATGTTTCCGACCTGTTTTTATCCCGCTGCGGTAACCTTCTTAAATGCGTCCTTTGTTTAGCACCAATCACCCACACGTTGCCGTAGTAATCTGACATGTTTTTTCTCACACATACAGAGACATCCCCGGCTATGAGAACTAGTCGTCAGTAGGCGAGCATAAGAAAAAAAAAATGTTGTTTCCCTTGTGCGAGATCTAATCGCGACTCCAAGCGGCGATGAAAGATCTCGGTGAAGGCGCTTGGGGAGAGTCATCGCTGATGGACCATTGGTCAATTTTACTCTGGTCTAATGGCACATCCCATCGAGCGACCTTAAGATCAAGAGTGTGTGCAGCCTGGTTGAAGCGGCATTGCCAGCTCTTGACGGCCTTGCACCCGGGCTTCTGGCATAGATGGCCCATGTAGCATTTGATGGATCGGCACGCGCCGGCTCGAGAGCAGGGGTTCTGGAGGAGCATAAATCGCAGAACCTCAATGATCGTGTCAGACACATCGCTGTGGTCATACGGGCAGCTCATATCACCACATTCTCCCGACAGGTGATAGCTGTTGCAGACCTTGGCTTCTTTTGCTCGAGAGTGGTATTCATCGAAGGCCGCTCCTGGCGGGGAAGGGATGTATGGGTCGATTCGGTGCCCATCCTTAGTGACGGGGATAAATTCCTCGGTTTTGATGCTTGGCAGGGGTAGCGCGGTTCTAAAGAATTCCTCGGTGCGGCCAACTGTAGGGGAGGACCATAGATGTTTTGGTGAATCGTGTACGGGTGAATCACCAGAGTATTTAGACGAGGGTGGGTTAGGCGTGTGATTCAACGACTGGTTTGGCATGAAGTGTTGCTTGTTGCAACTATTGCCGAACTTGCAGATACCCTGATTCCGTGTTAGCGGCCTGTCTAGTTGAAATACCCTCTCCAGCACAGATACACACCTTTTGAAAGTGCTTGCAGACTGTTTTAATTCTATTTGTGCCGTGCGTACCATTTGAGCCATTCGTACCATTGGACGTGTGGGTACCGCTGATAGCCTTGCTAGCGGCTGGGCCGGTTGGCGGCTTGCTGTTAAGTAGGGGAGTGTCCATGAATACGGTAGGAAGTTCCTTGATAGGCAGGTCCAGGGCTTCGAATTCCCGATGGAAACCGGCGGCTTTGATGAGAGTGATACGGTCACTTCTACCTCTATAGGGAGTCAGCAGCGAACCGTATCCAGTGTCGTGGCAGCCAGCAAAATAGATGTGGCGGCATTGATTCAGCTCCGCAAATAGACGGAACATTTCTTAATTTTGGAGCACGAATTAGTCCATGAACAATGTTACAGGGTGCAAACTGCTCAATACCTCTGATTTTGTAATCGCTGCCCTCCTTCTTCTCTACAGCATCGACAAAATCGAACAACGCCTGTGCACGTGTAAAGGTCGAAGTAAAGGGCGACAAGGCCCGAGCCTCGTGGCCCATAAGACCAGCTCTGGCTAGAGCTTTCGATAATCCGAGGACATTTGCATAGACACGAACCATGATTTGACATTGCTCGGCTTGCACCCCCATTGTCGAGTGCATAAGCTCCCTAACGGAATCGTTAAGCTCACGGGCTGCGTTGATGCCTCCTTCGCTAGGGTTCTTCAAGAAGTGGTCCTTGAACTAGAAGGTAATTTGTTAGTCGATACCCAAGGCCGACTTGCAATAGGCAGGCAGACT